TCCTCTGATTATTTTCACCGGTCTTTTTTTTTCGTATATCTGTCGCTCTCAACAAATTAACAAATTACGCCTTATATAAATAAATTTCCTAGTAAAGAGAATTGAAGAAAAAATATGATGGAAAACAAGAAACAAGACTCACATGGGATGACAGAACCTTTAGAACGAGAAAAAGGAAGGGCGTTCCAAAAGACGCCATTATTCCCGCCAAAATTACAGACGGTCGGTGAGGATAACGCGCTACGTGTGACCCTCAATCCATTTCTTCTAAAATTGATCATTTTTGCGTGGCTGCTTACGTGTTACAATATACATATGTTAATACTAAAGGGATTTACTATATTTCTTGACAGTTATCTAGATTTATCTCGCTGTGTAGCTAACACCTAGCGACCTGTACTGCGATAAACTACAATCATTGAAAAAAATTCAAAAAATTATATATATTTTTTCTGTCAAAGTCATATCAAAAGGAAATTATCGCTTCATATCAACCTTAATTTTAAAATGATCAAAACAGCCCTTGGCTCTCTATTCTTTAGTATCTTATTAACATAATCTTTTTAACAATAATGGCAACTAACTATGACAATTCCTTTCTTAACAAATAAAATATAACAATAACGGGAATCGAGAAAAGCATTTCTAGCAAAAACAATGACAATCACATCGAGATCTTACTAGCATTACTCTCGGCTTGAAAAATAATAAAAAAAATTACATACTAAAATAATTTTAATGATAATTATAATAATAACAACAACAACAATAAGAAAATATTAATCATTATGATTACTATTATTAGCATTATCATCAATATTAATATCAATATCTATATCATTATTATTATTATTATCATTATCATTATCATCATCACTACTAGTATAATTATAACTGCAATGATTTAAAAAAATTATAATGATGATTATTATTATCATCATCATTAGAATTGTTATCATTATTGTTATAATAATAATAATGATAATAATAATAATAATAATAATAACAATAATAATAATAATAATAATAATAATAATAATAATAACGATGATAAAAAAATATAAACAATAATACCAATAAATGCAAAAACAATTACAAACAAAAAGATAATGATAATGACAATAATATCAATTAACATTATGATAGTAATAATAATAATAATAATAATAACAATAGTAATGATAATAACAACGATAAAAAAATAATGAATCTAACCATAATAATAATAATGGTGATGGCGATAATGATAATGATAATAATAATAATAAAAACAATAATAACAACAGCAATAACAGGGATAATAATAATAAAAATAATCACTATGAAATCATAATAATTGCTAACAATAATGCTGCTGCTGATGATGATAATTACAATAACAATAATAATAATAATAATAATAATAATATAATAATAATAATAATATAATAATAATAATGATAATGATGATAAGAAAAATACTACTACTGATACTAATAATCACAATAAAATAATGATAACGATGATAATAATGATGACAGCAATAATGATGGTTATAATAATAATAACAATAATGATTGTGATAACGATAATAATAATAATAATAATAATAATAATAATAATAATAATAATAATAACAATAATAATGATAATAAAAACGACAACGACAATAATAATGATAACGATGGTAATAGTAACAATAATGATAATAATAGTAATAATGAAAGTAATGATAATAGTAACAATAATTCATCACAATAATAACAACATTAATAAGATGACAATAATAATAAGTACAATAACAGTAATAACAACAATGATACGACTAATGATGATAATAATAATCATGCTATTATAAATATTACCATTATTATTGCCCGTTTCATTATTAATTTTGCGATTATCATTTTTATTTTAAGGATTATTATCATTTTTCCAAAGATTAAAACAATAGTACAAGCATCAATAAATATACATAAAATGGTGATTAATAGAAATTATTCGTGATATATATTCATCATCGGGTTTTGTAATTTTATCACATGGCGATAATGACGTCACTAATATGGTGATATTACATCACTAATTTATCAAAGTCGAGACTGATGACTTCAAGTTAATTCACAATATAAACAAGAAGGGATACGAGATTTAAATAATTGTCGACTCGCTATTTCAAATATTGACGGAGGAGGAAAATATAGTTGAATATTGATAGAGAAAATTGAATAAGTCGTTCCATAAATAATGGATCATTGGTTCTTATTATTTTTCCCCTATTTTCTTATGGGATATAATGCTTTAGATAATTTTTTTTTTTTTTGTACCGAAAGTATCGAAAATTTAAATTTTTTTTCTTATTAAATTTAATTTATTTTTTTTTATTATTATAATGCTTTAGATAATTTTTTTTTTTTTTGTACCGAAAGTCCGTTATTTAAAATGAAAATTCCTGATTTTTCTTAACTGAAAAGTTTCATCAATTCGTATCAACAAAACTCGTGGGTTTAATCATGCAAAGAAATGCACTTCAAAACATATTTAGTCACTATAGAGGTAGTGCTAAAAGCTTCGTTGTAAGTTATTTGACAAAAATAAAAGTCGAGAAAACCGATTCCATTGCGACTCTCCCATGTTTAAGTCGATTTCTAAAAAACGACACATAAGACAACACAAAAAGGAGTAAAAAAAATAAAGGGGGGGAGAAAAAAAGAATAAATCTGCAAGAAAGAAAGGCCAAAAGAAAAAATAGAGAACGTAATAAAATTCTAAATCTAAAATATACTCAAAACAGAAAACGGAAAAGCAGCACATCGCACCTGGCTGTGACGTCACTGGGCGTCTGGTTTCACGCCTGCGCACTGGAGGAGAGAGCCAGGCATGCGCAGGCGGGACTTCACAAACACAAAGCAGGAAAAGGAAATGGAACATAATAAACGGTTGTAAGAGACCAGATAGCTAGATGGAAAGCACAAAAAAGTAACAGATGAATAGACGTAACAAATTTCAAGTAAACTGGACATGCTCCTATTATGACATCTTTGTAATGATTAATGTCCATGCACTTCTAATAGCATTCAACCTAATTATGCTATCATTAGATCCATGATTCTTTTAAAAACTGTAATTCATCCTCTACCTACAGTATGACATGACTTTTATCTGTTATCCATCTACACTGTTTACTTTCCTGAAGTGTTTTCACCTAGAGAAACAGCTACAAATGAGCTAAATATAATTTGACGTTTCGCATGCACTGGAATATGATTTATAAGATCATGGGGATTATGTAAGACTGTATATGCATGAAGGCAATTTATAAATTCTCCGTTTTACTTGGTGAAAACACAGACTTCTGTCAAGAGCATGCAAGATACTTTTCCTGTCCCTTGGGCACTAAATATGGCTAAATATATAATACGACTGTTTTTTTTTTAAGGTTTATTGGTACCTGGTGACAAAATTTAGATCAAGTCTATATTATGTATAATCATATTTTTTTGGCAGATACCGTAAATAAATATGAACAAGCATTATAGATAAAAATTTATTAATTATACTTGTGCAACATGCCTCTTTATACAACAGTAATGAAACTAGATTCCATGCGATTGAACGCAGTTGTATTATATATGATTTTACAGCAATAAAATCACATATTACACGTGATACAGACTTGGATTAACTGTGGTTTTAAGAGGTTTGCAATGTTTTACAAGAAAATTAGAAGTGACACCACCTACCTTGGGAAGACATCCTGGGGAGTGTGGAGCACTTGATGGCTGGCTTGATAGGCTGTTTCTCGGCTACAGTCATAGAAAACGGATTAGTCAAAGAAAATGGGTAAATTAAGCATATAGAAAACGAGCAGTCATATTAGAATTACTTAGATGCTTCCTATATTATCTATTATGAATGAACTAAGACTGTTACTTCTATTATAACTATAAAACAACAAAAATATACTATAAAGTCAAACCACACAAATCCCTGTCCATTCTCCATGCTTGAACAAAATAAAATTAAGGCACTCCAAGCTTCTTCCAGCTACTTTTGTAGTACTTTCAGGACGAACAGAAATGAAACATACACCAAATGCCATGGAAGTCAAATGATCACAGAATACAAGACAATACATGGTTCTTTCATTTAAAATGTCACGCGCATTGCCTTTCCATTAGCAAATAAAAAACAAGGGCCGAGGATTGGAACAAACACCAAGATTTTTAAAAGAATATTGAAGGACGGAAGGAAACAGAGTCCGAATATTTCTCTGAGGGGAACTAGAGGGGGGGGGAATGATTACCTGCTGGAACATGTTGTTTTGGCGGCGTGTTCAGATCCGGCAGATCGTCACTGAACGAAACAGATTTTTCGAACGAGACTGATTTTTCTGAAATAGGGAAAATCCGTTCATCACAGTCGCCTTAGCTCTCTACCAACCAGTTTGTCCATGCGGTATACGTTACAGTCATATGTACATAACAACGATTTTCACATATATGACATAGAATAAAATGGGTATAATAAATCCAAAGATACAGTATACTAGAAAAACAAACTTTGATCAATATATGGTATACATGTACTTTCAAAAAGGTCTAATGTACTTCACTATCATACCAAAATACCAATATACTTTTTTTTTTGTAGAGTATTACTGAAGATATTTGGGGCATGCACTAGTTTTCCAAATTCGTGGTGGTTTTCAGTGGTATTCTGAATAATAGCAGGGATTATAAGAGGTATTACAGAGGGTGTTAGATACAACTTCAAAAGGCAAAGATAAGTTATTTACACAGGGGGATTAAACATTCATTTTAGATTCCATAAATTAAAGTAAAAAAAAAAAAAAAAAAAGTGTGTTTCGTGCCAAAAAGGTAAATTCTTGCAAAAAATGAAAAAAGCTTGATGATTAAAAAGAGAGAGAAAAACGCAAAAAAGTCTGCCGTGTTCTACTGTACCTCTACCCCCTCTTCCTAATTTTGGCGGCTTAGTGTCTGGCCGAAGGTAAGTATCGT